GTATGTGATTCTCAAAGCGCTGGGCAGAGTAAGACATAACGTGATGACTTCCTCTATAAATCACTAGCACTGATCAGCTGCCAGAAGAACATTTGGTAGCCCAGATGTTTAGAGAGAAAGAGAGACCAAGAGAAAGTGTGTGTGGTTGTTTGTGTGTGTGTGTGCGTGTGAATGCGTGTGTGTGTGTGTGTGTGTGTGTGTGTGTGTGTGTCTGTACAGGTTGGACAGGCCCCTAGAACAGTGTAAAACTCACCTATGAGGTCGGGTCCTTTGGCGCTGACTCTCAGACTCCTGCTTCCCAAGGGGACTTCCAGCACTGTCTTCACAGCTTTAGGACAAAGGAGATTTTATTTAAACTACTCATCAAATGCCAAAATGTTTCCACAATTCCCCAAATGTCCTCACAATACACAACGATGTCAACACAATACATGAAAGCTCACGTGTCTCCCTCTTGGCTTTCTTCAGATGACGAAGGCCAATGGGCCAACATGTAAGCATTGATAAAGGGAGAAAATAAAAAAAGCTTGTATGTGATACGAGCAAGAGCAGTGTGCAGGTTTCTTTTTCTTTTTAGGGTAAACAAATGAAGCGATCTAAAACATTTCCTGTTCTTAATATCGAGCTGGCATGACTGTTTCCTCCCTGTTTTAGTTGATTTGTATACTGAACTCCTTTTGGCTTCAGATCTCACCACGAACATGAACCTCAGTAAATAAAGTTGGGGCCTGTCCTAAATGGCACCCTATTCCCTATATAGTGCACTACCTTTGACAGGGGCCCAATACGGCTCTGGTCAAAAGTATTGCCCTATGTAGGGAATAGGGTGCCATTTGGGACACAGCCGGAATGTAGGAGTTCTACTTCAGTTGTCAGATCATACTGACCTTCAGTGTCTTATCAACGAAGGGGGTTGGTGAGACCACTTAAGCATACAGTCGATGTAAAAAAAACACTATGACAACGAATTTTATGAGGTCAAATAGCACTGTGTCGAAACAATTTAGTTTCAAAGTGGAATTAAATAATGTATCTGTAATGTATCTAGAGTCACAGGGTTGAAAAACCTGGAGTAACTGTTGGACAGTAAAAGCATTGTCAGAATTTGAGTCCCAAATGACACCCTAAGGGCCCTGGTCAAAAGCAGTGTACTATTTATAGGAATGGGGTACCATTTGGGACGCAGACAAAGACTGTGATAAGGAATGTTCTTCCAAGGAGCAACATGGAATCTATGAGCTCACAAACCAGGGAGGAAAAATGATAACCCATATTTCTCCTTCCGCAGTCCGCAGTCTGCAACAATGTGCCAATTCTAAATGTGTTAATGTGAAAACAGAAGAACAACAACATATCTACAGCAGTCAAATATGAGGTCAGGCAAGAAGGGTTTGTGTGTGTGTGTGTGTGTGTGTGTGTGTGTGTGTGTGTGTGTGTGTGTGTGTGTGTGTGTGTGTGCACATGCGTGTGTGTGTGTATGTGTGTGTGTGTGTGTGTGTGTGTGTATGTGTGTGTGTGTGTGTGTGTGTGTGTGTGTGCACATGCGTGTATGTGTGTGCGTGTGTGCGTGTGTGTGTGTGTGTGTGCACATGCGTGTGCGTGTGTGTGTGTATGTGTGTTCGCCCGTGCGTGTGTGTGTGTCACTGGGGCATATCACATTCCACTCATAGCGTTGCTCTGAGGTTTAGTTTTCCAGTGCTGAGTAGAGATAAACCAGGTGATAACATCTGATATCTACTGTAGAAACACCTTGTGACAGTCACGTTAACCCCCTCCAAGCCCACCCAGTTTCTCTATACTGTCAACCTCTCACAGGTACAGTACAAGTGACACAGTGTGTGTGTGTGTCTGTGTGTGTCTGTGTGTGTCTGTGTGTGTGTGTCTGTGTGTGTGTGAACCTTTCCTCCATGGTTCTTCCCAACTCTTTCTCCATTGTCCTCGACCTCTGTAAGTGCTGTGACCCTCACTAATACTGACGCAGGTTGGCATTTATTGGGATGACTCATGTACAGGAGGCAGCTCTGCAGAGTGGTCACTAAGCCACAAAGTCCTAACATCTGATTTTAACCATAACCATAACCTTAACTACACTGCTAACTCTAATGCCTAACCCAGCCTTAAATGAAGACCAAAAAGCAAATAGTTGTTTTCATGAATTTTTACGATATAGACAATTTTGACTTTGCATCTAGTCGAAATCGCTTAGTTCTGCCTCCAGAGCAATATTCATGATAATAAACGTCAACCTGCAATAGTGACAGGGGTTAGAAAGGGAATAATTATCGCTAACAGAACACTCCCACTGACTTTGATCCTTATGTATCACACGTTTCAGTAGGGGTAGGAGTGCTGATCTAAGATCAGGTCCCCCCTCTCCATGTATTCTTATTCATTCTGATCTAAAAGGCAAAACTGATCCTAGATCAGCCCTCCAACTCTGAGATGCTTGGTGCACACATATAAACCATGCTGTAAACCAATCATTAAATACAGCAGAATATACAGTGCATTCTGAAAGTATTCTGACCCCTCGACAAAGCAAAAACTGTTTTTAGACATTTTTGCAAATTTATAACAAATTAAAAACTGAAATATTACATTTACATAAGTATTCAGACCCTTTACTCAGTACTTTGTTGAACCACCTTTGGCAGCGATTACACCCTCCAGTCTTCTTGGGTATGACGCTACAAGCTTGGCACACCTGTATTTGGGGAGTTTCTCCCATTCTTCTCTGCAGATCCTCTCAAGCTCTGTCAGGTTGGATGGGGAGTGTCACTGCACAGCTATTTTCAGGTCTCACCAGAGATGTTCGATTTGGTTCAAGTCCGGGCTCTGGCTGGGCCACTCAAGGACATTCAGAGACTTGTCCCGAAGCCACTCCTGCGTTGTCTTGGCTGTGTGCTTAGGGTTGTTGTCCTGTTGGAAGGTGAACGTTCACCCGTCTGAGGTCCTGAGCGCTCTGGAGCAGGATTTCATCAAGGATCTCTCTGTACTTTGCTCTGTTCATCTTTGCCTCGATCCTGACTAGTCTCCCAGTCCCTGCCGCTGAAAAACATCCCCATGATGCAGCCACCACCATGCTTCACCGTAGGGATGGTGCCAGGTTTCCTCCAGGTGTGACGCTTAGCATTCAGGCCAAAGAGTTCAATCTTAGAGTCATCAGACCAGAGAATCTTGTTTCTCAGGGTCTGAGAATCCTTTAGGTGCCTTTTGGCAAACTCCAAGCGGTCTGTCATGTGCCTTTTACTGAGGAGTGGCTTCCGTTTGGCCACTCTACCATAAAGGCTTGATTGGTAGAGTGCTGCAGAGATGGGTGTCCTTCTGGAAGGTTCTCCCATCTCCACAGAGGAACTCTGGAGCTCTGTCAGAGTGACCATAGGGTTCTTGGTCACCTCCCTGACCAAGGCCCTTCTCCCCCGATTGCTCAGTTTGGCCAGGCGGTCAGCTCTAGGAAGAGTATTGGTGGTTCCAAACTTCTTCCATTTAAGAATGACGGAGGACACTGTGTTCTTGGGGACCTTCAATGCTGCAGAATTTTTTTGGTACCCATCCCCAGATCTGTGCCTCGACACAATCCTGTCTCAGAGCTCTACAGACAATTCCTTTGACCTCATGGCTTGGTTTTTGCTCTGACATGCACTGTCAACTGTGGGATCTTATATAGACAGGTGTGTACCTTTCCAAATCATGTCCAATCAATTGAATTTACCACAGGCTGACTCCAATCAAGTTGTAGAAGGATGATCAATGGAAACAGGATGCACCTGAGCTCAATTTCGAGTCTCATAGCAAAGGGTCTGAATACTTATGTAAATAAGGTATTTCTGTTTTTTATTTGTAATAAATGTGCAACAATTTCTAAAAACCTGTTTTCACTTTGTCAGTATGGGGTATTGTGTGTAGATTGATGAAGAACAATGTGACTGTATGTGGAAAAAGGAAGGGGTCTGAATAATGTCCGAATGCACTGTATGTTTTAGTGCGCTGCAGTGAAGTAGTAATGACCACATCCACGTCTCCTAAAATGTCACTGTGTTTTATGTCATGTACTGCTAAAAATATCCAAACTCACACACATGCAGACAGATACAAAAACATACGCAAACACACACACACACACACACACACACACACACACACACACACACACACACACACACACACACACACACACACACACACACACACACACACCCACCTCAATATCCAACCTGATAAGTGTAAGATAGACCTCTTTCATTTCAGTAGGACCCGTGCTAAATGTGTTCCCCTGCTAAAGTGCTGCCTTTTCAGACACTTACCTTTTTCATACTACACGTTGTTCTCCAAGCCTGTGGCTGAGAGGGGCGAGTCTTTTGTTCTAACGAGGCGAGAGGTTTATAGAGAACTGCTAATGCTATTTTCCGCTGTTTGAGAAAGCTACTTTTCCCTCTTGCAGCACTAGATCTGCATCCCAAATGGCACCCTATTCCCTACATAGTGCAATACTATTGACCAAATCCCTATGGGCCCTGGTCAAAGGTAGTGCACTATATAGGGAATAGGGTGCTATTTGGGACGCATAACTGGGACACTCCTTTTAACAATTAAGCCCTGATGGACTCCCACCAAAGTCCTTAAAATAATGATATATGGAAAGAGAATTGGTAAGTCTAAAATTGTATGACGGTAAGGAAATAAAGTCCATTCCAGTTTTTCAGAGTTTCTTCAATTGTCTGAAATGAATAATCCCAAATAAATGAGGGAACAGTGAAACATGGATGTACTCTGTTATAAGCTTGGTTTAGACTAATCTTTCATCGACTCACCGATACAATGGAGTAATTCTGGCACTAGCGCTTTGGCTTTAAGCATATTCCAGACACAATGACTGATACACACCATTCACAATCATAAATGAAGGATCACAATAAACTAACGTGCTATGTGATGCTTTCTTTCTCTGTGTTTGTGTGTGTGTGTGTGTGTCACTGGGGCATATCACATTCCACTCAGACTCATAACGTTGCTCTGAAGTTTTGTTTTCCAGTGCTGAGTAGAGATAAACCAAAATCTGAAAGGAAAATGAAATCAATGGCCGAATCAGACTGGAAACGCTCTCTGCATATTTCTATATTTTCCTTTGGTTGGGAATGCTGATGCAGTGAGTGTGCAGAGTGAGCTGTGAGGAATGAAGCAGAACTGCCAGCTTCTCATTAGCAGCTTTTACAGTAGATTAATAAAGAGGAGAGAGAATGACTATCCCGAGCCCAGGGCCCAGACACACACACGCATGCTCGCAAATACACTCACACGTATGCATGCATACATGCATACACTCTTGCACGCAAGTTCACAAGCACGTGCGCACGCGAGCCCACACACACACCTACACACACACACACACCTACACACACACACACCTACACACACCTACACACACACACACAGGCCAAGAGTGCTTAGCCCCGGGTGCCCTGGACCATCATCCAGAAAAATAAGGGCCTGTAGCGCCCAAACTACTACAGAGGTAGAGGAAGCTAATGGGGAGAGAGATGGAGGGGGTAGAGAGAGAAGAGAAAATATAAGGAAAAAGGAAAGGTGGAGAAGGAGAGATAGATGGAGAGAGAGAGACAAAGCAAGACAAAGAAAAAGAGGGAGACGAGAGAGAGAGAGAGAGAGAGAGAGAGAGAGAGAGAGAGAGAGAGAGAGAGAGAGAGAGAGAGAGAGAGAGAGAGGGAGAGAGAGAGAGAGAGAGAGAGAGAGATGGAGTATAAAAAGAGTGAGTAGAGAAATAAATGGAGAAGCAGGAGAGGCTCCTCAACAATCTGATTACCGTCAGAGTGCTCTGCTCTCCTCTGCCAGCTTCTCAATGGGACCTGGAGGTAGCCTACATATCATTGCGACCCACTGTGAATTATTGGCGAGACGCTCTTTATTAGAGAGAACATAACGCGCTTGGATTGAGTTACCCTGAGATTCGGTCAAACAACCTCTTAAAAGGAACAAGCATGATGCTGTGAAAACGTCTAACTCTGCCCGTCGAAACAAAAGTCCCAGTACTTCTTTGTCGGGAACTCGGACTCCAACTGTTTGAGCGCTTTGTTCCGAGCGAGGGGGAATTCTTGGAAGAGGAGAAGTGACTTAAGTGCGACTGGCAGACCCGGGCAGAGCGAATGCTGACGACTGACGCTGTCCAACAACAATATAAATGTCTCTTTCCACTGTATAAGGCTCAGCTTCGTCCCTATTAGTGGGCAGCTACAAAGACAGCCTTGTGCTGGTATTAGGAGAACAGAAGGCTTCTAGACAATATAGACATATGTATTTACTGTGGCTCATGGTAATAATAATAATATGATATATGGACAGTTATGGCTGGGGTTTGACATGATGAAACAAAACTAGGGTTAGGGTCTAGTAATGGTCTAATGGGGTCAACCAGGACCTAGTAATGATCTAATGGGTTAATGGTCTAATGGGGTCAGCCAGGACCTAGTAATGGTCTAATGGGGTCAGCCAGGACCTAGTAATGGTCTAATGGGGTCAGCCAGGACCTAGTAATGGTCTAATGGGGTCAGCCAGGACCTAGTAATGATCTAATGGGGTAATGGTCTAATGGGGTCAGCCAGGGCCTAGTAATGATCTAATGGGGTCAGCCAGGGCCTAGTAATGGTCTAATGGGGTCAGCCAGGGCCTAGTAATGGTCTAATGGGGTCAGCCAGGGCCTAGTAATGATCTAATGGGGTCAGCCAGGGCCTAGTAATGGTCTAATGGGGTCAGCCAGGACCTAGTAATGGTCTAATGGGGTCAGCCAGGACCTAGTAATGGTCTAATTATTTTTGGTCAGGTCACATGGTCAGGAAAACTACTAGCCCTAATAATGTATTGGGTACCAATCTTAAAATAGCTAGAAAACTACTAACCCTAATATGGGTATCTAAAATAGATAGAAATGTTATTTTGAGGTCAACTGGAAATACTATGCTGAGGATTCATAGAATGCAGTGTTTTCCCTCCTAAATGTGCTGAATAATCCTAGGCATCTACAGCTGTACTGTACAGTACATACCCAATGTTACTGTTAGTTCAACTAAATGTACAGTACAAACCCAATGTCACTGTTAGTTCAACTAAATGTACAGCACAAACCCAATGTCACTGTTAGTTCAACTAAATGTACAGTACAAACCCAATGTCACTGTTAGTTCAACTAAATGTACAGTACAAACCCAATGTCACTGTTAGTTCAACTAAATGTACAGTACAAACCCAATGTCACTGTTAGTTCAACTAAATGTACAGTACAAACCCAATGTCACCGTTAGTTCAACTAAATGTACAGCACAAACCCAATGTCACCATTAGTTCAACTACTTTGAGCTCATACAGCCACATCCCAATACTACAGTAGGTTCTGGGGTTTTCCAATTAGCTGGCAAAGTGAGTTAACCTTGGATTATAGTTGAGTCAGACACTACACTACTGCTTGACCAAACGCCCGTTGGCCAGTACTATAGGTATGTGACAGATACTGTAAACACCCACCAACAATTAAAAGACAGATCTAAATATTTACATGGTTACTTGATGTTATTTCTAATATGAATGTTTTTTGAGGGAGCGAGCCATGTTCATTTCCACTCTCCAGCGCATGTCAAAACAAGTTAATTTGAGGAATTTTATACAATACCTCAGCTTGAAGGCCAATAAATTCAGTATGCAAATACGTTTGGTGCCAATGTCTACTCAATTAACCTTTAAAGACGTGTGGAAATGCTAAAATGTACTGGAAATAGCCAAGAGCATCTTAACAAAATTCTAGTTTGTCAGATGTTTTTTACACCTCAAAAGTAGTCTAATGTTGAGATGTTCCATGCCATCTATTGTGTAGATCCAGCTATATGCCTAATTCCAAAATGAATGGAAACCTTTTCAAAGTTTGATTTCTCCAAGACCTAAAATACTCCTGTAGTGTATTCCATGAAGCTGACAACAATAGCCAACAATTTACCAGGAAAAGGCCGACCTTCAAGTCAACATTTCTCAACTCTTTCAAACATGGATCGCAGTCCTGTACAGTAAACCAGTGCTTGGCAGACTGGAACGTAATAACTACATTTAATTGAATTCACAAACCACACATTTTTCTAGTAAAAACATTGCCATTTTGCATGGTATTTAATGTCCCTAACCACCTCCAAGCAAACAAGAATGCAGTTATCACGTCAGAAAAAACATAATAGTGACAGCCAAAATGCAGTCATGATTTTAATCTCCACACAAAGTTTTACGAAAAGCCCACACTAAAAAATCAGCCTCTATTTTGAAGCTTACATTGGAAAGCTCCATCTGTGGACAGCCTAAGCCAGATGGCATAGTAGTATACCAGCTTTGATAAATAAACTCTGTGGGCCATAACACTTATCCAGACCAGACCTGGGACAGAACACTAACCCAGACCAGACCTGGGACAGAACACTAACCCAGACCAGACCTGGGACAGAACACTAACCCAGACCAGACCTGGGACAGAACACTAACCCAGACCAGATCTGGGACAGAACACTAACCCAAACCAGACCTGGGACAGAACACTAACCCAGACCAGACCTAGGACAGAACACTAACCCAGACCAGACCTGGGACAGAACACTAACCCAGACCAGACCTGGGACAGAACACTATCCCAGACCAGACCTGGGACAGAACACTAACCCAGACCAGATCTGGGACAGAACACTAACCCAGACCAGACCTGAGACAGAACACTAACCCAGACCAGACCTGAGACAGAACACTAACCCAAACCAGACCTGGGACAGAACACTAACCCAGACCAGACCTGAGACAGAACACTAACCCAGGCCAGACCTGAGACAGAACACTAACCCAGACCAGACCTGAGACAGAACACTAACCCAAACCAGACCTGGGACAGAACACTAACCCAGACCAGACCTGAGACAGAACACTAACCCAGGCCAGACCTGAGACAGAACACTAACCCAGGCCAGACCTGGGACAGAACACTAACCCAGACCAGACCTGGGACAGAACACTAACCCAGACCAGACCTGGGACAGAACACTAACCCAGACCAGACCTGGGACAGAACACTAACCCAGACCAGACCTGAGACAGAACACTAACCCAGACCAGACCTGGGACAGGGCTCAGGACTTGAAGGATTGAGGTACAGTACCAACACCTGACAAGTGGGGAGAGATATTTTGAGAGGACCGTAAGGGACATGGGATGGACTGGTGTATTTCCACAAGGGTTTGCAAACCTTGTTGGGGGGCGATACTATATTTAGGGCCAGAGAAAAAAGGGAGCATTGTGAACCTTGTTGGTGAGGGATATTTACATGGGCTTGGGAGAAGATGAGAGTTAAGGAGACCAGAGTGTATTTTCACAGCAGTTGTAAACCTCGTTGGGGGAGAGCGATGAAGAGAGATTATATTTACCTATGGCCACAAGGGAGCGAGACGATAATGTATTTTCAACAGAGAGTGTGTTCACAACCTCTGTGTGTAAAGATATTGATATAGCGCAGAAGTATGGTCATCTTAGAGAGGGAAGAGTGTATTTTTTCAGGCGTTGCCGAACTTGTTGTGTACCTACGTTCTTCCGGTGAGACGTGAGGCAGCGCCTGGCCCCGGACCAGCCGACACGTAGAACCGTCGCCGGCACACACACCGCAGTTGTCTTCCCTGGCACCGCTGCCCAGCTGTCTGTCACATCCCACCTCCTGCCAACACAAATATGGAGAGAGAGAGGTGAGAAAGAAAGAGGGATAGAGTGAGGGGTTGAGGGAGGTAAGGGACGGAGGTGGAGGGACAGAGGGTGGAGGGTGGTTAGAAGAGAGGTAGAGGGAACCCCCCTCCCTGCCGCCCACACACACACACATGTGCTTCTCCTTTCAGGAATTCAGTTTATTTTCCCAGCTCAACGCTCCATCCATGCTCTCGTGATCATTAATACATATACATTGGAAGGTAGAGGACTGGTCCCATTCTGTCACGTGTTAAACCCAGTCTGCCTACTGTCTGTTCTATCCCTTACAGCCTGCTATGCCATCTTCTCATTGCTACTGGACCCTTGACTTGCCTTTCAGATTCACCTCAGCGTGTGACCAAGTCTTTTGAATTGTATTTTGACCCCTCTAGATGGACAAAACAGTAGTTGTAGCCACAGCCCAGAATTAGACACCCAGTTAGAATTGGTTGTGACTCAGAACTAGGTAGACTACTGTACAGTGCCTATGTTTGAAGGTTGTGTGATGGATTTCAGATAGCAGTGAAGTGTCTACCAGCTGTGTGGACGGTCTATGGAAGGACCAGCTCATATGAAACCCCTGTATGTTTTCCTTGCATGACAGAGAGAGAGAAAGAGAGAGAGAGAGAGAGAGAGAGAGAGAGAGAGAGAGAGAGAGAGAGAGAGAGAGAGAGAGAGAGAGAGAGAGAGTAATGTATGTCAATAAAGCAATTTGAATTTGAGTTCAAAAGAGAGATCAGTCACCACTGTAGGCCATATTGACATCTATAAATTCATTTATTCTTTTTATTTGACTATTTTAAAAGTACATATAAAATTGTTCCATCATTATATTGATATATTGCATTACCCACCTCTCGAATATCAAGTTAAACATTTCTCAGCATGAAGGAAAACGCTACATAAACTCAATCCATCATCTTCATTATTATACAGTCTGTGTGTCTATCCCATTAGGTCTGCGAGAGCTGAATATCAACCTGTCTCTTTCTATTGCATTTAAACCTTTCTGTAACGTTGCTACAGCCAAAGTGGTAGACATTTGCTGAGAGAGTGTTTAAATGCAGAGCTTGCTCTCTGAACATCATTGCATAAACATTGTTCAATGACCTGGGTCCAGAAACCTAAGATTGGGGTTTTTGTGCAGAATGAACATTATTTCCCTTGAGGAAAGAAAAGGTCCGGGTTGTTGTTGTTTTTTTTGTTGTGGTGTCCTGTCCTGTATTTTTTGTTATTTAATTTTTTTGTTATGAACAATCTATTCATATTTTTGGAGGAACAAATAGTCTGTTTAGGCCGTTCTTCAAAGATCCTCAAACTTTCCAAAACAAGCACCATGTGGCCATGCCATACATCTGTTTGAAATAAGTGATATGCAAAGCAAAAATAATAATAATCCCTTTTTATCTGAAATGGCAATCACTAGTATAAATGAATCATAATATAATCATATTATGTGTAAGCTATGATGCCAAGGCAGCGACCCCAGCGCTGTCTGCTGGCGGTGTGTGTATCCATCTGTCAGTGTTGTTAACACAGGAGGCTTCATTGTGTTTATGCTTCATCGTTTTTTTGAATGCATTAAACGTTGTTTCCTACTGGAGCGGCTTTATATTAATTTTCAACTGTCAAATAAACTCAATCAATAAATAAATTAATAAAGAATGTATCATCTACATAAGAAACGCTCCCAAGTCTCAACAAGTGCTAAAATAATCAAATAAAGTGAATGTGTTAGTTAACTATTACTTTTCTGGCTTACTTAGTAACCAGCCTGGCTGGATCCTGTATGTGTTAATCTATCTTTGTTGTTAACCCAATACAGTGATCTGATTTCTATATAAGAAATGCTGCCAAACCATAAACTCAAAGCGCTGTCTATTTATAAAGAATATATATATGTGTTAGCGTACTATCATGGCTTACTGGCTGTGGGAATTGAGTGATCTGTGTCAGTTTTTAGCCAAGGAGAGGTAAAGAACCATCTACATAAGCTCAATCAATCAATCACATTTAATTTATAAAGGCCTTTTCTAAGGGTCACTAACTCAAAGCGCTCTCTCACTCTTTGATAATACAACAACACCATAAAGTAAATGTTCACGAGTGTTTCTGGCTGTGGAGTGTCCATTATGTCTTGATCTGTCTGTCAGTGTTGTTAGCCCAGTACAGGAATGTACCATCTATATGAGGCATAATGCCACAGCTCAACGTCAGAGTCTTTGAAAACACTCAGTTTAGACAGGGCTTTCCCCATCGGTTCCTCAAGGACCGCAGCCACAGCACATTTGGTTCTATTCCAGCACCAGCACACCTGATTCAACTGGTCAGCTAATTGCCAAACCTTTAAGTTGTGGAATAACATGCAGCTGTTGGGGGTCCATGAGGAACAGCTTGGGATATATTGGTTTAGAGCAGGTGTGTCAAGCTCATTTTGCCCCGAGGGCCATATTCGGTCTTCACCAAAGTCCGGAGGGCCACATTGAAAATGGGTTATGTTTCTTTGCCCTCTGGTTTAGAGGATGAGGCGTGGGGTATGGGGGAATAAACTCACATGTTTTACATGGTATCCTACACTGATCCAATCAAATCAAATTGTATTTGCCACATGCGCCGAATACAACAGGTGTAGACCTTACAGTGAAATGCTTACTTACAAGCCCTTAACCAACAACGCAGTTTTAAGAAAAAAATAGATAAGTAACATTTTTTTATAGCAAATAATTAAAGAGCAGCAGTAAAGTAAGATAACAGTAGGGAGGCTATATACGGGGGGTACCGGTACAGAGTCAATGTGCGGGGACACTGTATATGTAATGTTGTATTAAACTGCATAACTTTCTTGAAATGGTGAAGAACAGAGTTTGTGCTCCAGATGCTGTGGGAATGGCAGCCAGCATAACAAACCAAACATGGCTTACCTGACCAGTAGTCCCAGTAAACACAAACACTCCTTATACCCATTATATGCACACCCCTTATAGGGCAGAAGCCATGAAGTACCGTGCAGAGCTATTTGACTTCAAGCACAGAGCATGGTCAGAGAAAGCCTGATCTTGATATCGCAGCTCCTTGTCACAAACACGCACGAACACACACACACACACTTCACTTCACTTGAGAATGTCTATGGATAGTATAACATGAAGGTTCTATTTGGGTTGAACAAGTACTTTGTCATGGTTCCATGAAGACAGCGTCTTATTGTAGCTTGCTTACATACAGGATACTTAGAGAAGTATCAGTAACAAGATAATGCCTTGTGGGACTAAATAATGTCCCTCGTTCCCTGTTAAGCTATCATGGCCTGGCACTGTATAAGTGTACTTTTAAGGATTTGCATAAAGAGGGTCTATTTCCTTAATGGATGAAGTGGATATGTGAATTTCCTCTTGGCTAGACACACAACAGTGTGCATTCCTCTCTGGACTAGAACTGCTATAGGTCCCAAATATCACTCTATTCCCTATGATATAGTGCAGTGCATTTGACTAGAGCACATACCTCCTGCATCTCTCTTTCTCTCTCTCTCTCTCTCTCCTCTCCCCTCTCTCTTTCATGCGTATCTACTGAATATCTCTATCTATCTATCTCTCCTTCTCTCTCTAATCGACTCCTCTCGATCTCATCCTATCTCTACTCTCTCTTATCGCGAGCTCTACTCTTCTCTCGCTCGCTCTCTCTCTCTCTCCTTCTACTCTCTCTCTCTATTCTTCATCTGCATCTTCTCTCTCGCGTCTCTCTCTTTACTCTCACTCCTCACACCGGAAATCTCCTGCATCTCTCTCTCTCTATTTCTCTCTCTCATCTCTCTCTCCTTTCTCCCATCGTACCTCCATCTCTCTCTATTCTCTCTTTCCTTCCTCCTGTCACACCTCCTCTCACTCTCCCTCTCTATTTTTTTCTCTATCTCTCCCTCCTTCCTCCTCCAGTTCTCTATCTATATTTCTCTCTCTCTTCCTCTCCCCTTCCTCCGGTCATACAGCCTCAGACAGACGTTTTAATCAAGCACCTATCCACCGAAGAGGACATATCAACATTGATCATCAGTCTGTGGTTCCTAAAACAACAACGTTTCGCCTAAAACTAGAACCCAGAACTTCTGACATGCAACATGGAGAGGATAAATATTTTCCTTGTTTAAGATCTTTTTTTTATGAACTTCCTATTTCTGACATGTGGTTTTAGATTAGCTGCTGCTACAGCATGTGGATTCACAAAGTGGAAATACTGTATGATTGTTCAAGAGCAAAGATTATTGAGAAATATTGCAGAAGATCAGAAGTTCTCAGACTGTTTTGCACTGTATAGTTTGGAAAGATTCATGTAGCTTTATGGCCCACAAAGAAAAAACAAATACTTCAAGCTCTGATCCAGTCTTGAGCCATTTTATTGTATCGTATCATATCGTACATCGTGTCCCCTGATCTGTCATTGGCATGGCTGATTAACTTTCTGGAACCAAAATGGCTGCCATGGCATAGTCCAGGTGGGTGACACATTGGTGGTGGATGAGGTGAGTGCTTTGAGCACATGGAAAAGCATATATAAATCCAATCCTTACTATACAATATATTACTATGATATCATCATATCGTAATAATATACGTTTCCCCCTTACTATATAAGCACTTTGATCAGGCACGGGCACAGATAGGGCTTTAGTTCATTTTAAGCACGTGCCCCCTGAATGTGCACGGCCCTGACTGAGCATCTGGAAAAGTGCTTTATAACATCCAATCAAACAATCACTCAGTCAATTTAGTATCTCACCTGACAGATCCCACTGATGCACATGTCCAGGGCGTCGGCTCGGCAACGTGTTCCGTCTAGAACCTTAGGCGCCAGCTCCACCGTTAGGCTCCTCCCCCGGGCCTGGCACCGCAGGGCGCACGCTGCCGAGGGGTCATAGGGCACAGGAACCCACTCGTAGACCATGCCCTGGTGCCTGATGTCATTGTGGGCGGAGCACTGCTGGGCTCGGAAGTCTCCCGACTCGACGGGACAGTCCTGGGGAAGAAGGGAGGGGGGAGGAGAGCAAAGGAACATAGAGAAGGATGAGATGGTCAGGCAGAGGGACAGAACAGAAGAGATAACGGCTTACATGTGGAAGACCCAACTCTTTACCAACAGCGAGCCTTTACTAAGTCTCTCCTTAGACCTTGCTTTATGCACACACACACACACACGCACGCACACACACATACACACACACGCGCACACACACACATACACGCACACACGCACACACACACACACACACACGCACGCACACGCACACACACACGCACGCACGCACGCACACACACATACACGCATGCACACACACACGCACGCACACACACACACACACGCACGCACGCACGCACGCACGCACACACACACACACGCATGCACACACGCACGCACGCACACACACTGGGACGCACACACACACACACACGCACGCACACACACACATACACACGCACGCACACACACACACACACACACACACACACACACTGGGACGCACACACACTCTCTCCCTCCGTCTCTTTCTCATCTTCTAAAAGTCAAGTCTTTCTCTCTCTCTCTTGCTTTGTTTAGATCCATCTCATTCACACCGGGAGCGATGGTGTAAATATTATGGTGGGAACTCATCCCACTGGTCATGATTGAAATCATAGCTAGTCTGCAATACATTCCAGACACAAACCACTTCAATAGAGTAATAGAAGCAATAAAGTCTATCTTTGATTAAAATGGTGTGAGAACGACTGTGGTTCCCGCTGCTTAGAATAGACTCAAGGCATGTCTGGAGTTGATATGAGAAGGATATTGTTTTCTTCTCTTCATTGATGGAACGTAGGATTTTACCATGAGGTCACCCACAGTGCTGGAAATGACTGATAAAAACAGTGCTGACTGACAATATTGTGCCGGTTCTTCTCATTGTTACCAGCAAAGTTATAAGATGGAATAGAAAAGGTATAACTATGTATTACTATTTATAAGCTGGAATAGAAATGATAACTATTTGTAACAAGTTATAAGTGTTACATACATAAGCTTTAGAAATGACTCTGTTGCCAGTCTGTTGAGGCTACATACCGTAGACTAGACTTACCATGTTACTGCATGTTCTGTAGCGGATATTCTTGCCTTCACAGTTTCTGCAAAGCAATGCAATATAACAAACAAACATTGTTAGTACTAATTGAAACCAACGGTTTACAAGGAATTGTTTTGGCTTGAGTGTAATGGTTAATAAAACTACCAAAAAAAAAAAGTATTTGTGACGGGAAAGCAATATAACATACACCATATCAAACAAGTAAAATAGAATAGCTTAATATCCCTCAGGGAAATCTGTTTTGCAACAAAGAAATGCACAAACACACAGAAATATCTACAACAACAGATTGTGTTGTATTGTTAGTTTATTGGGGAGGCTCAGGAGTTACACCTTTGTGAGTCTGAAGGATCGTGGCTGGAGTCAAATCAGGACTGACAGACATTTCATCCTGAATTATAGCCGCCTGTCTCACACACACGCACGCACGCACACACACACACCTGTCAGACCAAACCACGCTTCACCTGCCAACGATCAGATCTCATCGAGCCAACGACCGTCTCAGGACCCCCTCCTAGCAAATCAACCTCTCTTACACACACACACTCTGACACCCGCCCACACACACACACACACTAATCTGTTCACCTCACTCTGTCAAAACCATCTCCTGCCTGGTCTGAAATCCACCACAGCGTAACACTCCATTCCTCTCCCCCTTCCTACACCGTATTGACACGCTACAAAATCTGTTCCACCTTGTTAGAAACAATAACTGCACCCCATCTCCCAGTGTGTGTTAACTTCCACTTCGCCACATTTCTCATTCTCACCCCCGGGGTAGAATAACATTGGTCTAAACTGGTAGCAGCTCATTTGTCCTGGGCTATGCCCCAAATGGCACCCTATTCCCTACATAATGCACTACTTTTGACCAGAGCCCTATGGTCCCTGGTCAAAAATTATACACTACATAGGGAATAGGATGCCATTTGGGACGCAAAGCGGATGTTAAAAAGCTTCAGTGTAATCGGCCATTAGGGTGAATGGGGAGTTGGAGACCACACTACGGCCATTCAGCCTGCTCCAAGGAAAAGCAGGCACCGAGACAGAGTAGGAATGTCTATGTCTTAACGAACCAATTAATGGCTTTCCCCCATCGAGATGAATCACTGATCCACACTGGGTTATACGTATAGGCTGGAGACAGGCACACACACATGCATACAGACATATGCACACACACACACACACACACACACAAGCACACACACACACACACACTACACACACACGGCTGTGTGCAGACCATGCTTTCAGGGTCTGGGAATGTCTATGAGGTGGCTATTTGTCTTCTAGCAGACACACAGAGAGCAAAAATGTCTGAAGTCCACAGACATGAGGAAGGATAGGCAGCACTGTGTCTAACGGTGTGGGGTGAAGTTGCCCCTAGATCTTTGGACAATTTGGCATTTTCTCCACTAATAGTTAAGGTTAGGCTTGGGGGAGGTGACATTGATCCTAGATCTGTACCTAGGGGCAAACTTCACCCCGGAGCGTGTCTAACAGAGTAATCCAAATGTAGCATTATCAGGTGTGTAAGTGCTGGGCTGGAACAAAAGCCTGCATACCATGCAGCTCTCCAGGACTGGGATTGAAAAGAACAGTGCTGCTCTAATTTAAGTCTAGACAGATATTCCTAGACAGATATTTCCTCCCAGTCACTGGATGTTTCTAGAAGGACAGATGAAGCTAGCAGGAGTCTGGGGGGAAGGGGCCTTGTGTCTGGGACCAGAGAAGGCAAGGCGCTGGGCACACAGCATCTGATGTCCAAGAGAAACATGGGGCCAGACATTACCCCAGTTCTCTGTCTGTCTGTGTGTGTGTGTGTGTGTGTGTGTGTGTGTGTGTGTGTGTGTGTGTGTGTGTGTGTGTGTGAGAGAGTGTGAGTGTGAGTGTGTGTGTGTGTGTGTGTGTGTGTGTGTGTGTGTGTGTGTGTGTGTGTGTGTGTGTGTGTGTGTGTGTGTGTGTGTGTGTGTGTGTGTGTGTGAGTGAGTGAGTGAGTGAGTGTGTGTGTGTGTGTGTGTGTGTGTGTGTGTGTGTGTGTGTGTGTGTGTGTGTGTGTGTGTGTGTGTGTTATGCCTGGAGTGAGCTGGAGTGGGGCATGGAGAAAGAGATTACAGTAGGCTTAAGGTGTTCTCTGCAGTCTTTCTCTGTTCTCCTTCAACTACACAGGCAGCTTTTCTGCTGGCTTAACCCTGACACCTGACACACACACACAAGCGCACACACACACACAAGCGCACACACACACACACTCACACACACACACACACACACACACACACACACACACACACACACACACACACACACACACACACACACACACAATCAATCCCAGTGCGCTCGAGCAGGTGTGTTGGCTGATGCAGGGAATGGGAGATATTGCTCAAATAACTGTGTAAATCTCCCTGTGGGGGAAGCAGGCAAATCAAGCACACAATCACTTCCAGACTTCTACACCCATTTAATCAACGGAGGGAAGTCAGGGCAGAGGTCTGAGGCTGCATCTCAAATGGTACTCTATTCCCTATGAAGTGCACTACTTTTGGGAAAAATAATCTGATTGGTGAACTGGAACAATTGTTATCTCAATCATCCCCTAAAGACATACAGATATGGCCCCCTGTCATTCACTTAAGTTGCGTCCCAAATGGCACCCTATTCCTTCCTGTAAATAGTGCATACAGTGCCTACAGAAAGTATTCATACCCATTGACTTATTCCACATTTTGTTGTGTTACAACCTGAATTCAAAATGAATTAAATTGATTTATTTTCTCACTCATCTACACACAATCCTACATAATGACAAAATGACGTTTTTAGAAATGTTTGCAAATTTATTGAAAATGAAATACAGAAATATCTCATTTACATAAGTAATCACACCGCTGAGTCATTACTTTGTAGAAACACCTTGTGCAGCGATTACAGCTGTGAGTCTTGCTGGGTAAGTCTCTTACAGCTTTCCACACCTGGATTGTGCAACATTTGCCTGTTATTCTTTTCAAAATGCTTCAAGCTCTGTCAAATTGGTTGTTGAACATTGCTAGACAACCATTTTCAGGTCTTGCTACAGTATAGATTTTCAAGCTCAAAACTGTAACTCAGCCACTCAGGAACATTCTCTGTCTTCTTGGTAAGCAACTCCAGTATAGATTTGGTCTTGTGTTTTAGGTTATTGTCCTGCTGAGAGGTGAATTCATCTCCCAGTGTCTGGTGGAAAGCAGATTGAACTAGGATTTCCTCTAGGATTTTGCCTGTGTGTCACACCCTGGCTCTGGGACTCTTTATGTTGAGCCAGGGTGTGTGCATTCTATGTGTTCGTTTTCTATGTTGGGTGTTCTAGGTTGTCTATGTCTATGTTTGCATGTGTGACTCCCAATCAGAGGCAACGAGTGTCAGCTGTCGGCTGGTTGTCTCTGATTGGGAGCCATATTTAAACTGTGTGTTTTCTCTTGGGTGTTGTGGGTTTTTGTTCCGTGTCGGTATGTTAACCGTTGGACTTCACGAGTCGTGTTTTGTTTGTTTTGTTCGTTACTTTAATTAAAATAAAGTCATGTTTGTATCACACGCTGCGCCTTGGTCCGCTTCCTGTAACGACGATCGTGACAGAAAAACCCACCGTAAAAGGACCAAGCAGCGTGTCCAGGAGCAGGCAGACTGGACAAGAGAGGAGCAGCGGCGTCAGCAGTGCCATCGTCGGACGGACGAGAGGCACCCCCAAGAATTTTTTAGGGGGGGGGCACACGTCATGGGCGACTGGGCAGCAGGAGGCTGCCACAGGGCGTATTGGGCGATTTGGAGAGGAGGCCACCAGGTTAAGGGGGCTACTGGCGAAGAGGGAGCAGGAGTTAATGTTGCAGAGGATGGAGCTATTAGAGGCGATTAGGGAAAGGGTGAGAAATGAGGCACGGCGAGAGGAACTCGGTAGGCAGCTGAGGGAGCGGGGGGTTATGATGAAACCCAGTCCCGCTCCTCACACCAAGCAAGTGGTGTGCGTCACCAGTCCGGTCCGGCCCGTTCCTGCTTCCCGCACTAAGTGTACGGTGCACGTCGCCAGCCCGGCCCGGCTCGTTCCTGCTTCCCGCACTAAGTGTACGGTGCGCATCGCCAGCCCGGCCTGTTCCTGCCTCTCGCATCAAGCCTACGGTGTGCGTCGCCAGCCCTGCCCGGCCTGTTCCTGCTCCTCGCACTAAACCTACGGTGTGCGTCGCCAGCCCTGCCCGGCCTGTTCCTGCTCCTCGCACTAAGCCTACGGTGTGCGTCGCCAGCCCAGCCCGGCCTGTCCCTGCTCCACGCACCAAGCCTACGGGGTGCGTCGCCAGCCCAGCCCGGCCTGTTCCTGCTCCACGCACCAAACCTACGGTGTGCGCCGCCAGCCCGGCCCGGCCTGTTCCTGCCACTCGCACCAAACCTACGGTGCGCGTCGCCAGCCCGGCCCGGCCTGTTCCTGCCACTCGCACCAAGCCAGGGGTGCGAGTCGCCAGCCTGGTCCAGCCTGTTCCTGCCACTCGCACCAAGCCAGGGGTGCGAGTCGCCAGCCTGGTCCAGCCTGTTCCTGCCACTCGCACCAAGCCAGGGGTGCGAGTCGCCAGCCCGGCCCGGTCTGTTCCTGCCACTCGCACCAAGCCAGGGGTGCAAGTCGTCAGCCTGGTCCAGCCCGTTCCTGCTACTCGCACCAAGCCAGGGGTGCGAGTTGTCAGCCTGGTTCAGCCCGTTCCTGCTACTCGCACCAAGCCCGGGGTGCGAGTCGTCAGCCTGGTCCAGCCCGTTCCTGCTACTCGCACCAAGCCCGGGGTGCGAGTCGTCAGCCTGGTAAGACCGGTCAGCTGCTCCACAACGGAGCGTAAGCAATCCGCTCCGTCAATGTCCAGTCCAGATCCAGCCAGCGGGGTCAGACCGGATCAGGGGCGCTACGGGGGAGTTATGGAGGGGTGGTGGTCAAGGCCGGAGCCGGAGCCGCCTCCGAGGAGGAATGCCCACCCAGCCCTCCCCTGTTTGGGGTTTTGTTTAGACGCGGTCGCTGTCCGCGCCTTTAGGGGGGGGTACTGTCACACCCTGGCTCTGGGACTCTTTATGTTGAGCCAGGGTGTGTGCATTCTATGTGTTCGTTTTCTATGTTGGGTGTTCTAGGTTGTCTATGTCTATGTTTGCATGTGTGACTCCCAATCAGAGGCAACGAGTGTCAGCTGTCGGCTGGTTGTCTCTGATTGGGAGCCATATTTAAACTGTGTGTTTTCTCTTGGTTGTTGTGGGTTTTTGTTCCGTGTCGGTATGTTAACCGTTGGACTTCACGAGTCGTGTTTTGTTTGTTTTGTTCGTTACTTTAATTAAAATAAAGTCATGTTTGTATCACACGCTGCGCCTTGGTCCGCTTCCTGTAACGACGATCGTGACACTGTGGTTAGTTCCATTACATTTCTTTTTTATCCTGAAAAACTCCTGAATAGCTTCTACCCCAAAGCCATAAGACTGCTGAACAGTTAATTAAACAGCTACCTGGACTTTCTGCTTTTTACCCCCTACCTACATGTACAGTACATTTTACGGACACAGTATATTTTACATTAGTGATCTTTTTTGTTGTTGTTTTAAGTCCCATCCTTCAGCTACCCTCAATCCCTCCCATCTATCTCTGAAAACCAGCAAGTTATTGTTATTTGATTGTGTTACCATTCTTTTTTATCTATTTGTTCATTTTCTTACTTTTAACTGCATTGTTGGGAAAGGGCTCATAAGTAAGGATTTCACTGTAAAGTCTCCACTTGTTGTATTCAGCGCATGTGACAAAGAAAATGTTATTTGATTCGCTTTTTTTTTTTTTTACCCTACCAATAGGCAGTGGAACACCTCCCTGGTCTTTGTGGTTGAATCTGTGTTTGAAATGCACTGCTCGACTGAGGGACCTTACAAATAATTGTATGTGTGGGGTACAGAGATGAGGTAGTCATTCAAAAATCATGTTAAACACTATTTTTACATACAGAGTGAGTCCATGTAACTTATTATGTGACTTGTTTAGCCAATTTTTTGTCCTGAACTTATTTAGGCTTGCCATAACAAAGTGGTTGAATACTTATTGACTCAAGACATTTTAGCTTTTCATTCTTTATTAATTTGTAAACTTTTAGAAAAACATAATTCAACATTGTCATTATGAGGTATTGTGTGTAGGCCAGTGACCAAACATCTCAATTAAAGAGTTTTTTATTTAGGCTGTAACATAACAAAAATGTGTAATAAGTCAAGGGGTATGAATACTTTCTGAAGGCACTGTGTGTACTCCCTATAGACGGGTTGGTTGTTTAGCAACAAAACCAACGCGTGCGCAACTATGTGGCAAACAGACGGGGTTGGTTTACATGATGACCAAACCGGCTCCGCGCGTGCGTCCACATGCGTCATCGTGCGCATCTTGAGTTTGTCCCCACCAGATGAGATCAGGACACGCAGGTTGAAATATCAAAACGCACTCTGAACCAACTACATTAATTTGGGGACAGGCCAAAACATATGAAACATTTATGGACATTTAGCTAGCTAGCTTGCTGTTGCTAGCTAATTTGTACTGGGATATAAACATTGGGTTGTTATTTTACCTGAAAGGTACTGGATCTTTGTAGAATTTGGGTCAACTGTGTTCTCTACTCCAACAATTAATTCACAGATAAAAGGGGAATCCTAATTAGTTTCTAGTAATCTCTCCTCATTCAGTCTTCTTCTTCTTCTTCTTCTTCTTCTTCTTCTTCTTCTGTGGATTTTATATGAAGGCTGGCAACCAACTTTAAGGTACATTACCGCAACCAACTGGACAAGGGTGTGGACCTCGTTCATCTTTCAATCACCCTTAGGTGGGTATATGCTCCTAAAAACCAATGAGGAGATGGGAGAGGCAGGACTTGCAGTGCGTCAAGCACCTAAAATAAGATCAAGTTCTATTTTAGCACCTGGCTACGCAGACGCTCGTTGACGCACGCGAGCAGTTTGGATGAAATGATTGAATAACATGTATGTGTATATGTGGTCCTCTGTAGCTCAGCTGGTAGAGCACGGCGCTTGTAACGCCAAGGTAGTGGGTTCGATCCCCGGGACCACCCATACACAAAAATGTATGCACGCATGACTGTAAGTCGCTTTGGATAAAAGCGTCTGCTAAATGGCATTTTATTATTTATTATTATTATATTTATTTTGCAATGCTCGCGCACGCAATGTGGGCGGTGTGGTCAGCATGTTAGATTGTTGATAACATGTCAACTATATTTCATCTCTAATATGTCTTGAAAACATAAATAAAATTGCACAATGATCACTTGTCTCTCAAATTAATCACTACATTTGTTGGTTAGCTAGCTAGCAATTTTTTGCCATATTAGCATAGACATGACATCAGTCAAAACAAGACATGGTTTCAAGAACAAACACAAGGAAGTCCAGAGAGGACATATGAATAAATAAGGAAAATATTTATCTCATGATCACTGCATAACAAAAGTTGATTTGTCGAGATCACAAGAACTATCAAAAGTACCACGCATCATCCATTAATTTGTTCAGCTGCACAATAAGCACCTCATCAAGGAGCCCTGTGGCTGAGTTGATTGCAATGCACTCGTGGGGCATTTAAGCCCTGAACGATACCTGACAAGCAGCACTGTCTCCCAGGCTGCGTGCCACACCAAAGACCATAGCCAATCTCATGCAAGGAACAATGCAGCTAACTTGGTTAGTCTTACATTTACATTTAAGTCATTTAGCAGACGCTCTTATCCAGAGCGACTTACAGTTAGTGAGTGCATACATAATTTTTTTTAAATACTGGCCCCCCGTGGGAATCGAACCCACAACCCTGGCATTGCAAACGCCATGCTCTACCAACTGAGCTACATCCCTGCCGGCCGTTCCCTCCCCTACCCTCGACAACGCTGGGCCAATTGTGCGCCGCCCCATGGGTCTCCCGGTCGCGGCCGGCTACGACAGAGCCTGGATTCGAACAAGGATCTCTAGTGGCACAGCTAGCACTGCGATGCAGTGCCTTAGACCACTGCGCCACTCGTCTTGTTAGCTAGGTAGTCTTGTTAGCTATCTAGATAGCTTGTTATCTATGCTGGTTGTTAGCTTGCATAACTTATATGTGTATAATTATAAGGGACACTTCATGTTTTGTGGATAATATTTACATTTACAGTGGGGGGAGCTCCCTTCCTGACAGGCTGATCAAATTCAATTTCAGCCTCAGAGGCAGCATCTTGACTTATCAGCCTATGAGGCTGCTATTGAATCTGATCAGCCTGCAAGGAATAGAGCACACCCACTCTTGATCATATACATAATGCACTGTCTGCTAATCTGCTTGCAAGGAGCTTTACCTATGAAACAGCCTGCAAGGCAGAATCCTGACTTTTCAGCCTATTGTATCTGATCAAGGTCTGAGGCTGAAATTGAATCTGATCAGCCTGTCAGGAATGGAGCTCACCCACTCTGTAAAACATGAAGTGTCCCTTACAATGATAAACATTTAAGTTATGCAAGCTAACAACCAGCATAGATAACTAGCAAGCTAGCTAACAAGACTACCTAGCTAACTAGCTAGCTAGTTCGCTCACAAGCCTGGGAGACAGAGCTGCCTGTCAGAAAGGCTGAAGAGAGGGACGTTAAAAAGGAAAGATATACATCTGTGTCCATTCAGTAACCCTACACCTCTCTGAGCACCACTCTTAACACACAGGAGACATTCAATTGAGCAACAATGATCCCAATATGACAGAGCAGTGCAATAGAATCTCCCCTGAATCCGTCCAAAGGTCAATACTGTGTGTGTTTGTGTGTGTGTGTGTGTGTGTGTGTGAAATTGTCTTCTCCCTGTTTCCATTATAAATGGATACAGGATTCATTCCATAATCACTGTTGCCAATTAACCCTGTTTAGTAGCTCTATCATTTTATGTGAATTTTTTTATTTGTGCTGTTATAAAACTTTTTTATTATTTTTACATTTTAGTCATTTAGCAGATGCTCTTATCCAGAGAAACTTACAGTAGTGAGTGCATACATTTTCATACTGGTCCCCCTTGGGAATCGAACCCACAACCCTGGCATTGCATGCTCTGCCAACTGAGCCACATGGATTGTAATGTATGGTTTTGGCAGACAGTAGAGTAATTTCCTAACACTAAGGTGATGCGCAGGTTGAGTAGCGTTCAGAACAATGGAGAATAATACCAATGTTGTGCTAGGAGGGGTGTGTGTGTGTATGTGTCTGTCTGTCTGTCTGTCTGTCTGTCTGTCTGTCTGTCTGTCTGTCTGTCTGTCTGTCTGTCTGTCTGTCTGTCTGTCAGTCTGTCAGTCTGTCTGTCTGTGTCCTCGTGTAGTACCAGGAGACATGATGTGAATGACTGGCAGCTCTTCTCCCAAACAGTTGACCCTTCAAACTGTTGCTTTCTTCAAACAGTTGACCTTTCAAACTGTTGTCTCTTCAAACAGTTGAGCCTTCAAACTGTTGCTTTCTTCAAACAGTTGACCTTTCAAACTGTTGCTCTCTTCAAACAGTTGACCCTTCAAACTGTTGCTCTCTAAAGAGGTTGTAAACTGTAACACCTAATGATTTACAGGATATAACCTTCCATCCTCCCTAGAATCTAACCTCCCATCCTCCCCAGGATTTAACCTCCCATCCTCCCCAGGATATAACCTCTCATCCTCCCCAGGATATAACCTCCCATCCTACCCAGGATCTGACCACTCCCATCCTCCCCAGGATATAACCTCCCATCCTCCCCAGGATATAACCTCCCATCCTACCCAGGATATAACCTCCCATCCTCCCCAGGATATAACCTCCCACCCTCCCCAGGATATAACCTCCCATCCTCCCCAGGATCTGATCTCCCATCCTCCCCAGGATATAACCTCCCATCCTCCCCAGGATATAACCTCCCATCCTCCCCAGGATATAACCTTCCATCCTCCCCAGGATATAACCTCCCATCCTCCCAAGGAGTGTGTGTGTTTTTGATACTGACCCTCCGTTGAGACACCTGCGTAGAGAGTATGAGGCCCCTCCTCCACAGGTGCGTGAGCAGTCGCTCCAGGTGCCCCATGCGTCCCAGCCACTGTCCCCGTCCTCATCTGATCGAGTCATACGAGACGCCTGAGAGAGAGAGGTGAAAGAGGTTAGAGTATAACTTACACATGCACGCACAAGCACAAACACACACACAAACAAGCAAATCAAATCAAATCTATTTTTATTGGTCAGATACACATAATTAGCAGCTGTTATTGCGGGTGTAGCGAAATGCTTGCACGGACACACACACACACACACACACACACACACACAAATAAGCACACACACACACAAACCGTGTTGCTATGTGTTATTGTAGTGAATTGGGAGGGTATCCTTGGCCGAAGTTGGGACCTTGAAGAAAAATAATAATACTTTTTCTTACAGTCCATAGAAATGTATATTTTGCTTTTTGACCAAACACCACAAGACCCACACAACTCTGAGGGGTTAGAAACACAGGTGCTGTGACTCAGTCCAACACTGTGCTGTTATGACAAGAGAACCAAACTGCTTGTCTAGATCACTAGAGCCAAATCCCAAATCGACCCCTATGCCCTATGCACTTGTGGAGATCAGAGAGGATTTGACAGATGTAAGCAATTTTGAAATTCTCCAAATTGCCCTCTGATAGGCGAGGTGGAAGTTTCCCTACATTGCTTATACCAATCAAATCGTCTCAGATCTCCACAAGTGCATATCGCGTAGGGGTCTTGGATTGGGCCTTGGAATTGTACTGGACTACTAAAGGAGGAAGGTAACTGCACATTCTATGGAAATACCCTCCTCATCAGTGAGCATGATCATGGATTTCAGAATATTAAAATATGGATCTCTAATCAGGGATTTGGTTTATTATTGTTTCTGTCTTGCTTTTAGTAATATTATTACATGGCTGTTATTGCATGCATGTTATTAAACAGCTGTTATTACATGGGTATTAACATATGTTATTCCATCACCCACAGGGAGCTGGGAAGACCAAATAGGAAATGGAGGATGTATTCACTAAAACTGTCGTGTGTGTGTGTGTGTGTGTGTGTGTGTGCATGTGGGTGTGTGTGTGTGTGTGTATGTGTGTGTATGTGTGTGTGTGTGTGTGTGTGTGTGTGTGTGTGTGTGTGTGTGTGTGTGTGTGTGTGTGTGTGTGTGTGTGTGTGTGCATGTGTGTGTGTGCATAAGATTTGAATTAGTGCGATGTGGTTCATGGCTAGTTTAGAATAATGTAGATCCCCCTTTACACAGGGGTTAAGTGTCAGTTGGCTGGGAGGACACAACATTAAGAGATCAAGTTATGCTACACACTGAGGTACTGAATAACACTGTGTGGTTTTAAAACGTGCCTAACTTGGAAATGTATGTTTTTTTTTTCCCACATCATTGCTTTCAAGTAGAGGAAGCAGACTCAGGTAGAGGAGGCAGACTCAGGTAGAGGAGGCAGACTCAGGTAGAGGAGGCAGACTCAGGTAGAGGAAGCAGACTCAGGTAGTAGGAAGCAGACTCAAGTAGAGGAAGCAGACTCAGGTAGAGGAAGCAGACTCAAGTAGAGGAAGCAGACTCAAGTAGAGGAAGCAGACTCAGGTAGAGGAAGCAGACTCAGGTAGAGGAGGCAGACTCAGGTAGAGGAAGCAGACTCAAGTAGTAGGAAGCAGACTCAAGTAGAGGAGGCAGACTCAAGTAGTAGGAAGCAGACTCAAGTAGAGGAGGCAGACTCAAGTAGAGGAAACAGACCCATTTAAACAGATGTTCTGATCTGAGGATCGTCTCTCTTGACTGTTATGACCCACGAAGACATAATATATAATCTTCAATACAGGAGAGGGTTGAGGATAGAGTATTTAACATGAATACTAAAGCAGGTATAGCTGATGAGAAAATGTACATCTATGCTGCAGCTGTATTTCTTCTATAATCCAATATTTTATTATGACCTGAAACCAGATGGTAAGCTGAAGCCTGGCTGTAGTCAGTGCTGGGTTCAAATACTATTTGAAATCTTTTGATTACTTTTAGCGTTTGTTTTAGCCTGCCTGGAGTGCAAGAGGCGGGGTTTGCACTTTTGAGACTTTCTATTTGTTACGTTGTGCCAGGCAAGCTCAATCAAACCCAGCTGTATTCAAAATTATTTCTAATCCAGGTCTTGCAGTAGTACGACCTATTTGAACCCTGGAACTGCACTGGAAATGGTGTGTGTGTGTTCCGTTTGCATCATTTCTTGATTACACTCTTGGTACACTCTTAGGAAAAAAGGTGCTATCTAGAACCTAAAAGGGTTATTCGGCTGTCCCCATAGCAGAACCCTTTGAAGAACCCTTTTTGGTTCCAGGTAGAACCCTTTTGGGTTCCATGTAGAACCCTTTCCACAGAGGGTTCTACCTGGAACCAAAAAGGGTTCTAAGAGTTTAGAATGCAGTCTTACATCTTATGAGTGATACACACACACACACACACACACACACACACACACAGATAATCTGATTTACACCCCATCAGTTTACTGCATCTCACTAAAGGCAGTGCAGACACTCTCCCACAACTCCGTAGAGACATCTCCC